AAAGAAAGAAACAGATGAGACCCGTGCACAGCCTGCCTGGCACTCCCCAGGGGACAAAGGTACCAGGGGAGCCCTCAGGGTATCCTAAGTAGGCCTTAGAAGCCCCTTTGGTGAGGAAAGCTGCTGCTGGAGAACGTTCAGTATGTTCACATGACCAGTAGCAGGGCCGGGAGTCAACATAAGGGTCTGCCCTCCACCACTGTGCTTTGCTGTGCAGGCGCTGCTGCTGGGATGGTTTTCAAGCATAAGAGGGTATATATGCAACTTACAAAGACTCATCCAGCATTCAGCACTCAGCACTCCTGGGCCATGGCCACACCCTGAGCATCTGCCAGGCCTCCATAACCCTTCCCTTTCTGGAAGAGCCCAACTCCTTCTTGAGTCTGAAAATCAGCAGTCCTAGTGACCCCTTTCTAGTTTCAAAAAGGGAGGTGGGAAATCCCATGGGGTGGCAACAGGCCTTGGCTGAAGCTGGCCTTAGGGCCAGGATGGACATCCTTGTTATATGGACAGGTCTCCCCTCCCCTCTCTGCTCACATTGGCCCCTAGTCTTGAATTTCCAAGATCCAGAAGTTTATGGAAGTGGGATCCTATCCCACTTCCTAGCTGACCAATCTGAACTGGAAGCACCAGGACCTCTAGTGAGGGTGCCAGGAATCTCCCGAATGCTTCCTCCCGTGTACTCACTCCACAGATGTGCACTAGGAACCTACTGCCTGGTGGAACCCATGCCCAGCCTGGAATTAGATCTGTGGCCATCACCTTTCTAACCACCCTTCCCACCCTCCAGGTCTTAACAGTTTGCCCAGCAAGCCGCCTGCTTTGACCTTGACAAGCTTTGCCCACTTCCCGGGCCTACTGCTTCTCACCCTGCAAGCCCTGGCTCAAATAGCCTCTGGGGTCACATCATCATCTTGACCCCAGCCCACCCACCCAGCTGCATCATGTGTCCTTGTAACACACCACTCACATCTGCCTGGGTCTCATCACACAGTAAGTATCTATCTCCTTATTTCCAAGCTCCTTGAGGGTAGAAAGCAGCTCAATGCATGCTCCATAATAATGACTCAATAAATGTTTATGAAATAAAAAGTAG